CTGGTTTAAGAAAAGGTTTGTAAATGACAGCACAGCTACACTTTTCATGAGCAAATTTTGGTTTGCACCATGCAAACCATCTGCCTCTGTTGATGCTTTGCGGGATAGCTTTAACTCAAAAATTGTCAGTGTTATGGATGAGATTGCACCAGTTGAAATTGAAACTATGTAATGCCAACAGAATGCACCTTATTCTACAGTTCAACACTAAAAGAGAGAATGTCGGAATGCTGAATGCAGATAGCATAAAACCAAGCTTCAGGTCCAAAAAGACATCTTCAAAGATAGGCTGTGTGATTACAACACAATAATGTGCATCTTTTTCTGCAGAATTATCAACCATTACATTAACAACAACAGAATACTCTTCACCATGGTTGACAAACTAACTCACCTAGATAATTGGCCCATGAATTAGCATCAGCTGAGAAATGTAATGAGTTTGTATACTTTTTCTAACACTAAAATCCATAATATCAGAATGTACACAAGCCATTAATACATCTATATCCACCAAAGAGCCCATGTTCTCTCCATTACCATGTAAAAGTATCATGGTTAAAATGTTACAGTTTAGTGCTATTAATAGTGAAATTTTAATTGATACAGTGAGTCATCTCATGTTGTCCTGTGGTATTTTATGAGCAAGTAATCAGAATCCTTCATCACTTCCTATTTAGACCAAAAATAGGAAGTTCAGTAAGCATATGTCCTTTTATTTTAATGGTGTCAAAAGCTTTAAAGTAATCCATTTTCATTTATCAGTGGAGCCATCATTTTTTTCATTCCTCTGACACATATTCATGCACATTGAGTATATATTAAATTCAGTTAAAATGCCATATCTTGATCTCTATGATATGTGGACACATGTTGGCTGGTTGGCTAGCTGAAGTTACCAAACCTCAGCAAGGCAGTACAGTGTGTGTGTGTGTGATGTCAGTGTCCAATGTCACTCATCCAACATCAGTGCCTGATCTCGAAAATGCTTTTTTTTGTTGGACAGAATTGGCACAAATTCCCACAGACACACTCCAATCCAAAATGGAAAGCCTTAACAGCAGAGTGGATGCTGTTACAGCTACTAAGTGGGGCAATTCCATATTAATGCCCATGATTTAGAATTACAGAGAAAAGCTGTGATCTGTCCTAAGCAAGTTAAAAGCAGATCTAAAATGCTGAGTTTTGATCAGTGATTTAAACTTAGACAGATTGGTGCAGTCTTGGAAGTGTTTGGGGAGAGAGTTCAAGATGGTGAGGGTAGCTATGGAGAAGGCTCTGTCAGCCCAGGTGATGGTCCTTAGTAGTGGAGACAGGAGATTAGCAGACAGTGGGAAGGAACGTGGTGATGAAGCAGGTTAGTGAGGTAGGAATGGGTCTGGTTGTGGAGAGCTTTGTGAGTCAGGAGGAAAAACATACTGTAGTACTTGGCAGAGATTCCCAATCGAGTCTAGGTAATAAGTCATGAGCCCTTGTTCACATTGCTCATATGTACTGGGAACAGGAATTGAGATATGGACAGGCTGTCGGGCTTAGAAATGGGGTTGGGACCCTGTGAAATATAGGGGTGAAAAAGTACAAACCCCATTTCCAGAGAAGTTAGGACATTTTGTAAAATGCAATAAAAACAAGAATTAAACTTTTATGTAAATGACAAAAAAAGAATTAAAAGAAGTAAACAAAGTTTGAATTTGATGCCTGCAACACACTCAAAAATGGGGGGCAAAAAAAAGCAAACATCTGTCATGGTATGGGGTGCATCAGTGCCCACGGCATGGGTGACCTGCATATGTGTGAAGGTACCAGAAGCATATATTGGGATTTTAGACAGACGTATGCTGCTACCAACATAACATCTTTTCCCAGGATATCCAAGGTTATTTCCAAAAGACACTGTCAGGCCTCATTCTGCATGTGCTACAACAGTGTGGCTTTCGTAGACACGGAGTGTGTGTGCTTCATTGGCCTGCCTGCAGTCCAGATCTGTCTCCCATTGTAAATGCATGGTGTATCAAGAAGAGGAGAATTAGAAAATGACCACGCACTGTTGAGCAGCTGAAGTCTTCTATCAAGCAAGAATGGACAAAAATTCCACTCACAAAACAATTAGTATCCTCAGTTCCCAAATGATTGAAAAGTGTAATTAAAAGAAGAGATGATGTGGAGCACAGTAGTAAACATGCCTATGTCCCAACTTTTTTTGAGTGAATTTCAGGCATCAAATTCTAAATTTGGTTATATTTGCAGTTAATTTGGTCACTGAAAACATTGTAAATCTTTCTTTTGTACTTTTGTTAAATAAAGGTTCAAGAGAATTAACAAATCACAGATTCTTGTTTCCATTGTATTTAAAAAATGTCAACTTTTCTGGAGATGTGGATTGTAAATCAGAGATATGATGCATTTAGATTGGGAATAAATGAGACTAGAACAAACATTTATAATTCACAAAACAAATGCAGTTCAAATATACTGGTAGTTCATTGGAGGCCTTTACAAGTTTGCTATGGAGCATTTACAAATTCTGTTTTACATGTTCTGACAAATAGCAGCTTTCAGAGTCCTTCATGTTTCTTGTAATAAAAAAAAGCATATAGAATTTTAATTTTGTTAAAAAAAGTTCAGTTTAACTTATATAGTGAACTAAATGTTAAGATGAATGTTTTAAGTGTACTTACAATCAATAGGTAAACAAAAACACATATCATATGTGATACTATGCTATAACATCAAATATTAGACTATATTAAGCAAATAAATGAACTCAAAAACAAATTTTAACAAGAATTTCTCCTGAAAATGAAAGTATGTTAGCAAAACACTATCTCCTTTTGCAATGTGCATTTAATGAATTTAGGGGATAAGAGAGTTGGTTGCTCCTGTTACTGCATTCTACTCCCCCTACTGGCTATTTCAGGTATTGTGACCCAGAAAATACTGGTATTGTTCTAGAATGGGTTCACAGCATTGAACAGCTTCAAATCTTCATTCATTTTGAACTCTCACACAAGCAAATAAAGAACTTCATATTTCATATACTGTTAAACATATTTTCAGGGTTTTGTGCTCCTGTTTTGATGCTGTTCCAAAATGAAACAGTAATTTTTCCTATCTGGATGATCTCTATAGCACTTAAAAGTCTAAAAAAAAGTTTATATTATACTGTACTATCTAATCTATGTTTTATAGTCATTACTTCATTTTACCGCGTGTGCTGAGTGAAAAAGTGCAGTATTAATTTTAGCCAGTAGAGTGTAGTATTTATTTTAGACATTAGAGAGCAGTATATTTTAAGTTGCTAGCATTATAGCTGGGGTGTTAATTTTAGTCACAAGCATGCAGAATTTATTGTAGCCAGTAGAGTGCAGTATTAATAAATAAAAAGACTGGTATTTTATTTATTTATTTATTGGCTACATGAGTGCAGTATTTAATATTTAGCTACTTGGTAATTTAAGCCACTAGTGTGTGGTATTATTATTGACACCAGAATGCTATATAATATATTAAATTGTATATAATAATATATTTATTTTAATCACTAGAATGCAGTATGTATTTTAGTCACTAGAATGGAGTATTTATTCTAGCTACAGGAGTCCAGTATTTATTTTAGACACTAGAGTATTATTTTGCTACCTGAGTGCAGTACTTAATTTTAGCCACCACTAGAGTGCAGTATTACTGACATTAGAGTGTTGTATCTTTTTAGCCACTAGACTGCAGTATTTAATTCTGGCCACTAGTGTATTTATTTTGTAAGTGTAAGTTTATAAGTGTAAACTTTTAAAACTAATTATAACTCAATTTAACCCCTCATTGCCCATAAACTCGGGTAAATGTTCCACCAATTCATAATATGCATGCTTCAGTCTAAGCTGTGCAGCCACCAAACCCATGATCTTCCGCATTGACTGCTCCCTGAGAACCTGACAACTTCCTCATTTTCTGCACCTGCTGAAGCAGATTAAAAGTTAAAAAAAACACTAAAAGAACAAAGAGATAATTTTATTGTAAATTTATTGTAAATCAATCACATAATTATATGGGTTTAACACTGAGCTGAAGTATTTGTGTGGAGGCTGGATGAGGTGCTGTAGATTAAAGTGAAGTCCCATGTTCACTACAACGTCCTGTAACACTGAGTAAACACTGTACACTGAGGGTGGAAAATTAACAAAAACTAGGAGGAATATGTTGAAAATGAGATCTTATTTTAGTAAGAAAATATGTAAATATGTATTTCAAAACTAACAAGGTTTGATAGGTGATGGGTTTCCAAGCACAATAATAAGACACTGGGACTCTGAGTCTTTTTGTCTCTTGGTAAAACTGTATTGCTGCTAATCTGAGATTAAAAACGTTCCACTTCTACTTGAGTTGAGCATCATAAGCCAAATCCGCTCACCAAACAATACATCATCAGAATTCTGCTTTGATCCTTTATTGCACACAAATGAAACCCCTAAATTTAAAACTACAAAGGCTTTCAAATAGCAAAAAATACCAGCTCAAAAGCCCTGAAGAGGATGCTATTTCTTAAAACAAGTGAAAAATCCTTAATTTAACAAATAATAATAACCATAAACATAATAAGCTGATGAGTAACTCTGTGCTCGTTTTGTGCCATAAATGACTTTACATATATTTTAATATATATAAAATATTGCTTAAATTTAATTGTTTGAAATATTTACAAAATAATCTTACACTGACACCACTTTGAAAACAAGGTAATTTCATATTGACATGATGAGATAATTTTACTTGATATGTTTTTATTTTCTGCAGTGTATATGATCAATACAACTTAATAACAACACAACCTATACAGCAGAAACTTAAGCAAGGCTTTTTTTTGCAAATAAGCCTGGATAATATAAGCTTGATTCATTGAATCCTCTCCTGCTCTGTATCTGCCCTGTGTTTGAGAGACACTTCGCTCCACCCCATTTCTGGTAGAAGACGTTAGAGCGTAAACACTGCACTTCCTCCACAGATAACAAAACCAGACCAAACCGGTTTGACTGAAAGCAAAACTCAGTGGCTCCGTTCAGTGAGTCTCAGTGGGCTCTAGCTCTTCTTTTTTGGGCAGAGTTTGGAGAGAAAGCACAGAGTTAATTATGAAGTACATAATTTACTTCCTAACTTGATGACGAAGGACTTTTCAGTTAGAAGATGGAAATGTCCACTGCAGTTCCCAGCAGTCCCACTGAGACCAACATAACAGCTCAGACTGGAGGAAACATCTGTGCGCCTGTTCTCCATGGAAGTCATTTTCAAGGTCCTGTAAATATTACCATTATACATGGAGGTAAGTGACATATTATTAGAAATTGTGCGTCAGTTAATGCATCTGTTTTTCTGACTGAGTATTTAAAGTTATATACAAGCTGCATATTTTGCGGGGATGGTCATAATTTATGTATGCATCAGTCTGTTTTTTTAATTGTTGAGGTGGCGATGAAAAGCAATAATAGACCAATAATTTTTGCTGTTTTACCATTTTCTACTCGCTCTTCCTCCTCATTAGGTTTGTTTTTCATCCCTCGCTGTTTAGCAGTTTGGTCTGAGTATGCAGTTTTAAGTAGCTTCAATAATTTCTGTTCTTGCTTCTCCAGGCCAGGATGTCTGCAGTTCAAGTAGCAACAATGTTCATGCTGGAGTCTCTCCTTGTGTTCCTGCTCTCACTGAAGGTAACATGCATGTTGATTTCACTGGTTGTTTACAATTTGTTGACCCTAAAGTTTCCTTTTAAATATTAATGTTTTTATTGTTTTATTGCATTACATCTAAACTACATTGCCAGGGAATGCATATGATTGTGAACCCTACCAGGTATTTTCATGATAAGTAATGCAAAATGCAAAATATTTTTATACAGCTTTGATGATTAATAGATCCTTAAGTCCATTGTTCCCTCAGATTTCACAGCAGAAACAAATTTGTTTTCCCCCAGTGTTAATGTAACCACACTGTGTACAAGTGTGCATGATTTATGTTAAGCTGCAAGTTTTCATTAAGATATTTATGATCCAACTGCCAATATTGATAGGCATTTTAATTACAAAAGAATATATTTTAGGTGACTGGACTTCACTGTTCACATGCGTTTAAGACTGCATTCTATTTTTTTGCACCATCAGCTGATGCAGGTAAAATAGAGCCATTGTATAAATAAACTTTAGGTTAAGCATTGCAGTATTTCTTCCTGAAGGTGCATTATCAATGTTTTCATCATGATTAACACATGAGTGAACCCTAAAACCTAATTTCCATACGTTAAAATATTTTTGTGGTTTTTTTTTCAGCATGCAAACAGTAAAAGTTTGAATCATCACTGGCTTTACATGTGATATAATAGCCCTGAACTAACCAACATTTGTGCATTTCGAGACATTGTTTGAATTTGACTACTAGCACAAACACTAAATATAAGTTTCCAGTCTCAGTCCTGGCACATTTTTGTTCTTTGTCTCATCTAGCACACCTCAGTCAACTCATTCCCTTTATAAGAAGTTCCCTGTGGACTGGACTGGATGTGTAAAGTGCAGAAAGGGCATGTGTTGCATAACCTGCATTGTAGATCACATGGCTATGCTAAGGAGATGGCTATGGCAGTTTGAAAATGATGCTTGATATTGCACATGCTGTAGTCTGAGAACAGTTCATAACTGAAAACAAATAATTTCACTGTAACTTATATAAGCACAAGGACTTAATTTATTTAAAATATTTTTATTTTGAAGTATACACCATGAACAGGCACTCTGGTGTGACTGTAATCTTTGCACACAGGATTAATTTCAATATTTCTGAATGAGATGTACAGGGACTTCTGCTTGAAACATTTACAAATGTTTTTGTTTTCTGTACTGACTTTTCAGATTTGATAACTGTATACAAGGATTACAAAGAAAAACTGGGGAACAAATCTAAAAGAATTAATGAAGGAATCTCACAACATGGAACATTACACCATCTGAATGAGATCTACACAGAGCTCTACATCACAGAGGGAGGGAGTGGAGAGGTCAATAAAGAACATGAGGTCAAACAGATTGAGACAGCATCCAGGAGACCAGCAACAGAGGAGAAACCCATCAAATGCAGTGACCTCTTTAAAGACAAATCCATCAGAACTGTGCTGACTAAAGGAATTGCTGGAATTGGAAAAACAGTCTCTGTGCAGAAGTTCATTCTGGACTGGGCTGAAGGAAAAGCAAATCAGGACGTCCACTTCATATTTCCACTTCCATTTAAGGAGCTGAATTTGATGAAGGAGAAGAAACTCAGCCTGATGGAGCTTCTTCATCACTTTTTCCCAGAAACAAAAGAATTACTATTAGTAGATTGTATTTCCCACAAAGTCATGTTTATCTTTGATGGTCTGGATGAGTGTCGACTTCCTCTAGATTTCCAGAACAATGAGAGCTTGTTATATGTAACAGATTCAGCCTCAGTGGATGTGCTGCTGACAAACCTCATCAAGGGAAATCTACTTCACTCTGCTCTCTTCTGGATAACCTCTCGACCAACAGCAGCCAATCAGATCCCTCGTGGATGTGTTGACCTGGTGACAGAAGTACGAGGGTTCAGTGACCCTCAGAAAGAGGAGTACTTCAGGAAGAGAATCAGTGACCAGAGCCTGGCCACTAAAATCATCTCACACATGAAGTCCTCAAGAAGCCTCTACATCATGTGCCACATCCCAGTCTTCTGTTGGATTGCAGCCACTGTTCTAGAGAGACTGTTGGGTGAAGCAGAGAGTGGAGAGATCCCCAAGACTCTGACTCAAATGTTTACACACTTCCTGATCTTTCAGATCAAACACAAGGACCAAAAGTACCATGGGAAATGTGACACTGATCCTCAGCAGACTAGAAAGATGATTCTGGCACTGGGAAAACTGGCTTTCCAACAGCTGGAAAAAGGCAATCTGATCTTCTATGAGGAAGACCTGAGAGAGTGTGGCATTGATGTCAGAGAAGTGTCAGTGTACTCAGGAGTTTGTACTCAGATCTTCAGAGAGGAATTTTGGATGTACCTGGGGAAGGTGTTCAGCTTTGTGCACCTGAGTGTTCAGGAGTTTCTGGCTGCTTTATATGCATTTCTCTCCTTCATCAGCAGAGATGAAACAAAAGAGTTTACCTCTGATCTCTGTTGTATTTTCAAAGAGTCCAAAATGTCAGACTTCCTCAAGTCTGCAGTGGACAAGGCCTTACAGAGTGAGAATGGACACCTGGACCTTTTCCTCCGCTTCCTTCTGGGCCTCTCACTGGAGTCCAATCAGACTGTCTTACGAGGCCTACTGACACAGACAGGAAGCAGCTCTCACAGCAAAGGGGAAACAGTCCAGTACATCAAAGAGAAGATCAGGGAGAATCCCTCTCCAGAAAAATCCATCAATCTGTTCCACTGTCTGAATGAACTGAATGATCATTCTCTACTGCAGGAGGTCCAAACATACCTGAGTAAGAAGGATTACAGTCGTCTCCGTGGACTCAGTCTGTCTCCTGCCCAGTGGTCAGCCCTGGTGTTTGTGTTACTGAATTCAGAAGAAGAGCTGGATGAGTTTAACTTGCGTAAATATGACAGATCAGAGGAATGTCTTCTAAGGTTACTGCCAGTCATCAAAGCATCCAGAAGAGCTGTGTGAGTATTTTAGTTATAAATCTGTACCTGTACTATTTCTTATTTAATATAACACCAGATGATACTACACTGATGAAGGAAAATGGTTTTCATTAGTTATACTAATCAGCTTCCACCAAACCACCAATAGTTCAATAGACTAAAATATGTGTGTGTGATATTGTTCTGATGTATTATCATTTCTCTCCCAGATTGTGTAATTGTAGTCTCACAGAGAAAAGCTGTGCAGCTCTGTCCTCAGCTCTCAGCTCAAACTCCTGTATGAGAGAACTGAACCTCACTAACAATGACCTGCTGCAGGATTCGGGAGTGAAGAAGCTCTCTACTGGTCTGAAGAGTCCTCACTGTAAACTGGAGATACTGAAGTAAGATTATATTATTATTTCTCACTGTGGTGGTGGTGGTGGTGGTGGTGTGTGTGTGTGTGTGTGTGACATTTTTCTGATGTATTGTCATTTCTCTTCCAGGCTGTGTGACTGTAATCTCACAGAGGAAAGCTGTGCAGCTCTGTCCTCAGTTCTCAGCTCAAAATATTCAAGTCTGAGAGAACTGAACTTGAGTTACAATGAACTGCTGCAGGATTCAGGAGTGAAGCTGCTTTCTGCTGGACTGGAGGATCCACACTGTCAGCTGGAGATACTTGGGTGAGATCATCACTTCCTCACTGTGGTTGTGTTTATGTTTATAGCCCTTTGTTGAAATACTTTTACCGCTGATGTTCTACTTTCTGTCATTCACTCTTGCAACCAGGTAAACATGGTAGTTTACCAGGATACACACATTCTTACTCACCATAAACGTTCCTGTAAACAGGACATCACATCTTCAGCATGAACATCAGAACAGCTCCTTAATTTTTGAATCATGTGCATAAAGTACATTTTCTCGGGGACAATGAAACGTCACAGAATCATATGTGCTTTGCTGGTCATGCTGCATTGCTTTTGAGCAGTAGCGGCCATGCACAAATGCAGGGTAGATGTTTTTGATGCTTCTCTCTAGGACCATGTGGACTATACACTCCTGTGGCATTTTCATTTCATTTCATTCTCAAAACTACACCAAACAGATGTAAAAACAAAAGCATCACAGAAACATTTCATTTCACTGACTGCAATCTAAACATCTCTGTAATTTCCCATTAAATGTACTAGGTCTCATATCAGGTAAATTGCTGGGTCAGCTTTGCCAGAATTCCAAAACTAGTTTGCTCTCACACTGAACTCCTTACTGTATAATTAATGCTAAATTCCTGGTTAAAAATGCATGTGTGAAATTGGTGTGTGTGTATTGATCTGTAAGTGTGAGGAGTTCTTCTCCTTCTCTCTGCAGGCTGTCTAACTGCAGTATTACATACAAAGGCTGTGCTGCTCTGGCTTCAGCTCTAAAATCAAACCCCTCCTCTCACCTGAGAGAGCTGAACCTGAATCGCAATAAACTAGGGCAGTCAGGTATGAAGCTGCTCTCTGATCTACTGGATGATCCACATTGTAAACTGGAGGCATTACAGTGAGTTATTGACTATTGACTACACACACCTAACAAGAAATACTGAGGAACTCTGTGTACCAATGGATAAAAAGCTAATTTTGGCTGTACAACACTGGATTAACACAAGATTAACACAAACTGAATATGAAAAAAAAGAGTTTTCAATCCATTGTTTTCTTCAATGTTTATTGCTCGTCACATTTTTTTCATGTTTTCTCAAATTGCTAGGTAAACTACTTGTCAATCAAATGTGTTAACCCACCTCCCTAAGAACTGCAACCTGCTTTAAGCCAGAGACAAGATGTACCTTGCTTTTTATAAAATTGTCATCTGGGCTGCAGCCCCTTAAGGGCTGCAAACTGGGCATCAGACCACCTAATAACTGGGGACAAGTGAAGTGCAGGGTTTACATGAGCAGTGAAACAGTGGAGCCATCAACAAGCTCGAGACAAAAAAGTAAAAGAAAGTTACATTTTTGAAAGAGTACCATGGACTGCAAGCACACATTGCAGCATCATGGCACATATGTTTTCTCACATAAGTACATCGGACTTTGAAAGTGAAATTGTAATTACTTTGATGGCAAAAATTCTTTCTGTACTTCAAGGTTTTTATCTGAGACTAGCTGATGTGTTTGCTGCTATTGTTAATGGAAGCCTTCCAGCAACATGCTATTGAGACACTAAAGCAAATTTATGGCTGGTTTTAAAAAGCAGAGAAAAACTTACTGCAAAACTATCCATCTGCAGTTGTTAAGTAAACTGAGTGGCATATGTACTCAGCCACATTTGTAATATCTCTATCGATTTTATGAGCGGTCCTCCCATGTTGCTTCTTTGAATGTATTTGCATGTGGGAAAAAAGCATATTCTGCATTTTTCACTGCACACCCAATATACCTCACCTTTATGGTTGCATGTCACTGTCACACATAACATGCGAAAATGCCTTACAGAAGGCAAAGCACATGTACGAAGGAGAGGATTGAGACAGGTAAATATTAGCACAGAGATTTTTTGTTAGGATCACTCTAGCAGTCATGATCATAGGTTATATTGAGGGTTAAAGCTGAAGCAGAATTGGTGTTAGTCAAATCCAAATACAGGTCATTGTTGAAACTTCTTCTGTGCCGCTCAAAGAAAAATCAGGAGACCCAGGGTTGCAGAAATGATGTCTTTATTCAAAGAAAGCACTCTGTCCATCTACAGAAAACCCCATCTGAACAACAGGTCTGCATGCAGGATTTAAAATATTTTCCCTTCAGCTGTTGGTCCATCTGCTTTATGTCAGGACAATAGCCATTCTTTTGTAAAGCATACAAGTGGCTGTGCATATGGAAGCCTATAAATGTAGCTGTTTATGCCATTATTAGGGACAAAAAACACTATATTGTAAGTCAGGAAATTCCTCAGCGAAGTAGACATCTGCTAGCTGAATAAAATAAATAACACTGTATAGACAGCTCAAAATCAAGTACTATTGGGAAAATATAAACAATACAAGCTACAAATAAATATATAACTGCTGGATTTCCTGATGGGCACACCTCAGTCTGCCAGGATTGGAGACTAAACCTCCATTACACGGACTATAAACACAGGGAGCCCCCCCCCGGGGTTCATACTGAGTCCTATGCTGTACACCCTGTTCACCCATGACTGTGTTGCCTTCTACAGTAACACCTCCACCATCAAAATTACTGGTGATACCACTCTCATGGGACTGATCATTGGGGATGATGGGATGGCATAAAGGACAGAGGTGGCAAACGTGGTGGAATGGTGCCAGGTCAACAGTCTTTCCTTAAATGATGACTAAACAAAGGAGATGATTGTGAACTATCTGAGGAGAGCAGAGCAGCACAAGGCACTACCCAGTAATCAGACAGAGGTAGAGAGAGTGAAAACCTTCAAATTTTGTGGTCATCATGAGTGAAGATCTCACCTGGTCTCATAACACAACTGGTTATAAAAGCGCACCTTGCACCTAACGGCCCTCCTAACAACCATCAGAACACCTTATATTCTACTGACATAAGTCTGAATATATGTAATGAAACTTGAGAATATGGAATGAAAGTCTCAATCAATCAATCAATCAATCAACTTTTATTTAAACTTAGAATACATTGAGGGAGATCCTCACTTACAATGTAGTAGACCAATAGGGATTGAGAAGTTGGGTAGTAAAAATTTATCAAACGTTATAATAAAATAATAAAAATCATAATGGTAACATTTAATAATAAAAAGGTACCAATAAACCATTAAATCAATAAACCATTAAAATGTAAAAAAGTAAAAAGTAAAACAATAGCTAACACAGCTAAAACATACAAAAAATCATATGAAAGTTAAGTAAAATCAAATAAAGCAGTGTCAGGCTGATTGGTGGTGGTTAGAGGGACTAAAAGTTTAAAATGTTCATGTGACCAGAGAGCGAAGCTTTAGAGTTTCCTGTAATGAAATCCAGCTCACTGGTGCAATAGATAAAAGTAGATTTTCCCAGCTCAGTAAAAGCTCTCGGCACCTGAAGGCTGATCTGTTCACTAGAACGAGTCTGATGAACTGCATTATTTACATGGAGCATTGCTGCGCTTCACAATGGCAAACAGTCAGTAAGAGCTTTATAGATGAAAAGAAGCCAATGTGTCTCCCGACACATTGTGGTATACAGTCTAGAGATTTCAGAGTAGTTACAGGTGCATATCTGTGTAACAGATATATGGAATGAAACTTGAGAATATGGAATGAGGTATGACGTCATTGAGGCACTAGCACCATCTTGTTTTTTTGATGTGTGATATTATCTCATACAGATTGATGGGTTGGAAAATGTGTTTATATATATATGTACACACACACACACATATACACACACAAGTTGCTTTTACTTAGTCATTTGTATTTATATGGTGCTTGTTTAGCACTTTGTAGTTTGTACACCTGTAAGAGTGTGTATTAAGTGTGTATTAAGGATGTTTCTGCTGATTATGTTCTTCAGTGGAGTCTGATATCTGACTGTGATTGGTGTGAGTTCATATCTGATGATTCTCTCCTCTCCAGCATCTGAACGCCATCCAACTGATTTGCTCTCACACCCAGAGGGCTATGAGGACAGGATGAAGTCTTAGTACAAACACACACACTCAGTATATGCTTCTACATGGTACCGTGTGTGTTTGGATTCCTGCCTGTGAAATCTGTGAACTCGACTGTGGTCAAGTCATAACATCACTTTCTGTGCATCAGTGGCTGTAACTCCAGCGACCCGTCTGTCAGACTACTCACGTTGGTGGATGACCCCACACTGGTGATAAGAATGTGTACATGAGTTCAACATGCTAAACTCATAATAGCTATAATAGCTTTACTGAATAGTGACAGAATTCATAATGAGGATGCCCTGGTTTTTACAGAAAAAGAAAGCTGCCTTTTGTATTTCAGTGATATTTATATAAATTTGTATAGTTTTTTGAGAAAAAAATCTCATCAGTGCTTTTTATATTCTTTCATATGTGAATTCCACTTTTTATGTTACGAAAGTGACTTTGGTTTGTGAAAGTATTTGTTTTTCAGCTACAGCACAGCTAAGCTAAATTCTCGGAAGAAAACAAACTGTGATGATCAATGGAGAGCTTTGACGTTTACTTTTTTAATTTGGGGAAATAAAGTTGTGAAGATGAAGGAACTCACTGCTTTAGGCTCAAATTGTATTATCTTCTTATATGGGTGCAAATGAAATGCACTTCCAACCTTGTGCCCTGTTGGAACCCTGATGCACCAAATAGCAGATACTGGCCTTCTGCAAACACCTTCCTGTAAATACAGAAAACATGGAGAGGCATCTTTTAGTTTTTATGTTTCTAAACTCAATTCCACCTTCTATTAGACAGTCAAGCTCTATTCACATGTTTAAGAAACATTTGAAAAGAGAGCTGAAAAGCTTGAATGAGAAAAGGACTGAAAAGTCTCATTTTGAAGTCACTGAAAAGTGGCCAGATTTGGGTGTGGCTTTGTTTGTTTTGTGTTGTTTGTTTGGTGTGAAAATTAATTAAAGTTAATGGCTGCTGCAACCTTAAACTTTGCCTCCTGTGTCCTTCTTAAGCCCAGTAGCACAGGTTATGCTACAGTTTCTCTTAGTGGTACTTAGAACTTAATCTGTCATTGTCTTGTCTATCTATAAATAAAGATATTATTATTATTATTATTATTATTACCATGAAAATTCAACATGAGCCTTATGCTCATTCAATCATGGCAACATGCCATGAACTTTGTCCCTCCCTTTTTAACCTTTTTATGCCAGCTCACTTCATACTACTACTACTCAAAATCTTTCATAATAAATGAGGTCTGTCTTATATAGATGGTCAATTGGTCATTGAAACCTTGAGATGGGAGGACTAAAATTTAAAAAAATCTATGAAATCAAGTCCACCTTATTTCTATAGCACATGTAAAAGACAACAAATGTCAACCAAAGTGCTGCACAATAATATCAGTCAAAATAACCATTAGTAACAAATCAAAAATACACAATACATTCAACAAGGAAAGCAGCATGCATACAAAAACAAATCAAGTAAAAGCAATGAAACAAATAGAAGAGCTACACTGGCAAGACAAACCCAACCAGGATAGAACAGATAGTGAGTGCATAATCATTGAAAGGACTTAAAAGCCTGAGAAAATAAATGTTTTCAGATTCGACTTAAAACATATATTGTAGGTGAGTTGCAGTAGTCAAGGAGATAAAAGCGTGAACAACAATGTCCAGATCCTTAAAAGACAAAATGCTTTTAATTTTTGTTACATTCCGAAGTTGAATAAAGCTAACTCTCACAACAGCGTTTATTTGCTTCTCAAACTTAAGGGCAGAATCAAAAATAACACCAAGGTTATTTACATGGCTATGTACATAAGATGATAGTGGTCCTAGATCATTTTTATAGCTCGGGCCAAATTTGGATTTCCGAAAATAATAATCTTTTTTGTTTTAGTTTAGATTGAGAAAGTTCTTAGACATCCAGCAGTTTATCCCCAGACAATCACAAAATGAGGTGTATAAAAGCCATTTTCACCTGATTTAAGCAAGAGGTGTGTTATCTTGACAGAAAAGGTTCTGTTTTCCAGAAAAGAGGGAAACCACTTCAGCGCAGTATCCTGGATGCCAACAATTCACTTCAAGCAATCCAACAAAATGGTGTGATCGACAGTGTCAAAGGCTGCGCTAAGGTCTGTGAGGATTAAAATAGCACACTTTGCAGAAATAATGGCTAAAAATAAGTCATTAATTACCTTAAGAAGAGCAGACTCAGTACTATGATGTGATCCAAAACCTGATTGAAATCTATCTTGGATATTATGTATGTTTGTTAAAAAAACGAAAAATTTGGTTTAAAATTGTTGAGGACCAATGTATCTAAGCCAGGCTTTTTAAAAGAGGCTGAATGACTGTATGTCTAAAACAAGAAAGAACTACGCCATTGTTGAGACTGCTCTTTATCATAAACAACAGACAGCAGCACATCCTTAAGACACAGTGTGCAAAACGCATCCAGGGAGTAAGTGGTTAGCTTCATAATTAAATTGGTTAGATAAGTCATTGACACAGGCTCAAACTCATTAAGGAAAACAGAACAAGTAGGTAAATCAAAGGGATCGTGGGCCAGAGATAGGTGCCCTTTTGTCCATTTTGCAGATAAAAATCCTCATAAAATCTTCACAAATTTCAGCAGTAGAATGCAGTATCTTATTAATTGTTTTAAAAAGAAGGACTATGGGAATGTTTGGTGATTATGCTGAGTATTTTGTTCTAGCAGCTTTCACCACGCACTGATAGTTAGACATTCTCTGAAAATTTAGTAGGAGACTTGAAGCTTGTCTCTTTTCCATTTCCGTTCTGCCTTCCTGCATATGGGAGGCAAATCCAGCCAAAAAGAAATTAAAATTAAAACAATAAAATGTAAATGCAAACCTCTTTTTAACATTTCTTTTTCCAAACATCTGTGCAAATATCCTGCCAAAATTGAAAATGAAATGAAATACCTACATTTACAATTTCATTTTTCACATGCAATTTTACATTCATTTCATTTTAGTCATTATTCTGGTATTTCATGGCCATATCTAAAATGAAAAAGCTAATAGAGAAAAGAAAACCCAAGCTTCCCTTTGGCTTTTCTTCATGAAATGCAGAATATGTGTCAAAACTAACATCAAAATGCAATGTTTACGTTCTTATTTCTTTTTTATAGCAATCAGCTGCATATCTGACAATATTAAAATGAAAATGCAAAATGGATAAATCAACAGCAAAGTGACAGTTCGTGATTCAGTTTTCGGTGTGGACGCGCTATAAGTGTCAGAATGAAAAGGCAAATGCAAACAAACATCACCGCCACCTGCTGGAGATTTACTTTACATTTGTTACTTTTTGTTTCCGTTTTCAAACTGACTAACATGCAAACATATGTTAATTAGCACTAGGCGGGGCCACGGGGTACATTTTAAGACATCCTCAGACGAGCGTCATTATTGAACCATGGCTGAGAACTTCTTCTGAATATATTGCGTTTAACTGGATCAATTAAATCTATAATATTAGCTCATGTAGAATTGAACAAAGCAGTCAGCTCATCAGCGCTAGTGCCTTGACAAGGATTCTCAATTATACAAACTAGGGGAGAATTTATAGAGGCAGATGAAATCTGACAGTGTGCAATGTGATGACAGACTGCGTTTGAAACACAAACATGCACCTGCTAGCTCTAAATTGCACACTGAGAAACCAAATCACATAACAAGGTCCAAAGTATGTCTAGGCACATGTGTAGGGCTAGTAACAGACTGAGTCTACAGACTTGGATGAAGAGCAGATATGAATATTAAAATCACCAAGAATCTGAACTCGCTAGGCAAAATAACTGATAAAAAGTAAGAAAATTCCTAAAGAAAATCCCTGTTGATATTTGGAGGTCTGTAACCTAGAGCACAAAGTACAGACCACGACAACTCCACTTTACACAGCTGCACTTCAAAACTTGGATACTCTCCCACAGTCAACAAATGGCATTTAAAATGATCTCTAAAAATAGTTGCAAGGCCTCCCCCTCGGCCAGTTGTTCTAGGTGTATATAAAAAGTTACAATTATTTGAAGACAACTCAACAAGCGGGCTTGAATCACCAGAAGTTAACCAGGAACCAGCTTTCAGTCACAAAGATAAAGTATAGGCCATGGGAGACAAAGAAATCATTCAATATTAAAGGTCTTATTCAGCAGTGACCTTGTGTTGACTAATCAATTGGTCATCAATTGTTAGCAAACGTTATTTTAACTAGCACCAGTGGTTACTAAAGTTGTCACTGCTGCTTCAAGCCAATGGTTTAGGAGGACAGTAGCAAAACGCTGAGCAAATAGATGGAATGTGCCCATCCACAGCAATACTTCCACACACGCAGAGATTACAATGGGATCCCTGGTGAATGCAGCACGGGTGTCAAGCTATTCATATAACAACACAGCATGCGTAAGTCTGAGGAGCCAGGCAAGCCTTCGAATTAAAGTGCAGCAGTTCTGATTTCAAGTAGGGAGGCACTTCACAATTTATGTGAAAGTGTGTGGAGGACTCGAGATCACTATGTGAGACATAGTACAATCCATAAATAAATCCAAACAGGACTAGGATCACCAGATGAATACTCACAGCACACATCCCGAATTCCCTATTTGTACACACATTCGAGTTAAAACAACATAAGCCACTAAAACCACTAAACCTCCTCGGAGCCTGTGTCTAGGAAAAGTAGTTGAAACTACCTACCCGACACCATGAACCACCAGCAACTTGCAAAGTGGGAGCTTACTCATGACTCACGAATAGCCTGACAGACATCAAGTGGAACAGGGCAGGAAGGGCTTGTGTTAGGCTTGTGACAAAATTCAGATGAGTCAGATGTTGTGAAATCCACTTTAAAAGATTCATCCAGGCTGTACCTTGTCCTCGTAATCTCAAAAAGTAGCATCAATCCACTAGCCAAAAATTCAAATCCACCAGCCATTATTTTATTATTATTATTATTATTATTATTATTATTATTATTATTATTATTATTATTTATATTGTTGTTGTTGTATTTTTACTATGATTAACAAGAGGCTACTTTTTATGAACACAAGTCTGTCAGTCCACTCTGTCTTTTGAAGCCATGAAGTGATTTGCAAACTTGTGAATCAAATGACAGAAATCCACTCTCTGTAGAAGAGGACATGGGTAAAATGGTATTAAAAAACAGCTCAGAAGTTCCTTTATTTTTGTTCAAAGACATCCCAAAATGAATGAAAGTGACAAGAGGAAACATTGGAAGGCAAATGCTGGAGGTCTGAAGCAAAAACGGCACTTCCTTTTTAAAGGTGAAACCAGTCTAAACCAGTTTAACTGAAACAGAAACACGGAAACACTAGGAATCTCATAGTGCAGATAGTCTAAATATTAATTGTGAACTGAAATCCTCAGCAGTGGTGCTTTTGTGAAAAGAGCATATACAATGAAGAGAAAGGCATTTACTGTCACAAAGGTAATTACTGTAATATCAAATTACTTTCTGAGATAATCAGAGACTTTTTAGTTAGAAGATGGAAGCTTCCACTCCAGCTCACACCGGTCCTGCCCAGACCAACATGACAGCTCAGACAGGAGGAAACATCTGTGCTCCTGTTCTCCATGGGAATAATATTCAAGGCAGTGTTACAGTTATATACAACACACAGGGAGGTAAGTGATGTAGCTTAATAAAATGTGTATGAACTGTTGGGCCTGTTTGTTCAGATGAATGTTTAAAGTTATACATGAGCTGAATATTGTGCAAGGATAGTTATTAATTATTTACATATCCATCTATATGCTTAATTTTGGAGGTGGTTACAACAATATGGTTCACTGTGACTGCTACTACACATACAGTTCCCTCCAGAAATATGGGCATCCCTGGAAAACATGAACAAAATGGCCAGTAAAAAAACATTCCGCACTATTTATCCTTTTGATATATCATTCGAAATATTAACATAAACTAATCTTTATTTGAAGCACAATGCTGGAAAAAAAATTACATCACAAAATAAATCATCAGAAGAGGGCAAAACCAAGTTTTACTGTAAGTTAACGTAACACTCCGTTTCCAAAAAAATTGGGATGCTGTGCAAAATGTAAAAAAAATAAAAACAGAACGCAATGATGTGCAAACCATTTAAATGAAATTGATAAAAACCAACATATCAAACACTGAAACTGTGAAAGCTAATTGCTTGTTAAAAAATAAATTTTGAATTTGATGCCAGCACCACATCTTTAAAAAGTTGGGAGGGGCAACAAAACACTGACAAAGTTGTGTAATGCTAAAAATACACCTGGTGGAATTTCACAACTAATTAGTTTACTTGACAACAGGTCACTAAATTTACTGGGTATCAAAAGAGCATCACAGAGAGGCTGAGTCTTTCTGAAGTAAAGACGGGAAGCAGTTCACCACTCTGTGAAAGACTGCATGCAAAAAGTGCATCAATTTAAGAATAACATTTCTCAACGTAAAATAGCAAAGAACTTCAGGATTTCATCATTACTGGTACATAATATCATTCAAAGAATCATAAAAATGAGAAAAATATCTGTATGCAAAGGCTGAAAACCGATACTGGCAGGCCGTGATCCTCAGGCCCTCAGCTGGCACTATGTTAAAAACAGACATTCTGTGGTGGAAATCACTGCATGGGCTCAGAAACACTTCTGATCACTGTATTCACAAATGCAAATTAAAACCTCACAAGGACCACACAAAGAGAAACCACATATAAACAGAATCCAGAAACACTCCCACCTTCTCTGGGCCTAAGCTCATTAAATATGGACTGAGCAAGTGGAAAAGTGTCCTGTGGTCCAACAAATCAACATTTGAAATTCTTCAAATGCATCCTCCAGGCTAAAGAAGAGAGGGACCTTCTGGTTTGTTATCAATGCCCAGTTCAAAAGCCAGCATCCATGATGGTATTGTGCATTTGTGCACAATGCATGGATGACTTGCACATCTGTAAAAGCACCATTAATGCTGAACAATATGTACAGGTTTGGGAGCAACATATGGTGCCATCCAGACGATGTCTTTTTCAGGGAAGAATGAAATAAAATCTAACTATTTCCATTTCTTTTAAAGTTCACCAGAGTATTTAGGAACACTTTAATGGTCAGCCATGACTTCTTCTTGATTCACTGGGGTTTTCATAAGAGTTGACACACAGGCCAAATGCACTCATTCATCCATCACTATGAGAAAGACTAAGGAATACAGCAGTGATCTATGACAAAAGGTTGTTGACATGCACTTGAAATGGCTAAAACAAAAGGGGCTAGACAGTTAAAAATGCCCATTTCCACCAATAGAGCAATAGTTAAAATGTTTAAAGGAACTGTAGATGTTAAGAATCTGCTGGAAATTGGACGACCCCACACACAGTGAGGAGAATAGTTTGAGTGGCCAAGCTATTTCTGAGGATTGCACCAGGGTAATTGCAGAGTTGGGATCAGATCCTATCTCTAACTACAATCAGACACCACTGATGCAACCAGTTTTTAGAGAGAGTTGCAAGAAGAAAGCCTCTGCTGTCAAGAACCAACAAACTCAAGCACTTATATTTTACCAGACATTGAACCTTTTTTTGGACTGTGTTCTTTGGACAGATGAGGATAAAATAGAGGTTTGTGTCAACAAACAAACAGAGGTGAGTTTGGCGTAGACATGCAGAAAAGCACCCCCACTGTGAAGTATGGTGGTGAATCTAGGATATTTTTCATTCAAAAGCCCTGGACAACCAGATACATTATATCACAGACTCTATAACATACCAGCACGTTAAACCAAAACTTCCTCAGCCAGAAAGCTTAGACCGGTTTCATTATTTGGGTGTTTTCTTTAAATTATTGTACTTAAAACAAAGGTTAGATTTGTGTTAATGTTTTGAATGAAAGATCAGAAGAACAAGCAATGAGGAATGTTTTTGTGGCCCATTTTGCTTATGTTTATTAGAGGTGCCAGTATTTGTGGAGTTCACTGTAAAATGAAAAGCATTATTAAAGCAACCATTACTGTTCTTTATTCCACTCTGTCTGGCAGCTTGGCATTAGCATATTTTAAGTTTTAAGTTCTAATTCTTCCTGGTGTCTCTCCTCCAGGTCAGGAAGTTTCCAGTTCCAGCACCAGTACAGTTCAGACTGGAAGTCCTACTGCTGCTCCTGCTCTCACTGAAGGTAATGTCTTAATATACATAAAATCTGCTTATTTCTTATTCATTTCAAAATTCTGTAAAACTTTTTTGTTGCACTACAAATAAACAGCATCAACAGGGAATACATTATTGAGAACACTGCCATATACTTTATGAAATCAAGATACTGTATGCAGCTGAGGTAAATAATAGACAGTAGAAACCATTGTTTCCTCTGATTTCACATCAGAAACAAACATGTTTCTCCAATATCCTATACACTGTTTTGACCTTAATAAACATAAACAGATAACACTGATCAGACATTTTATTTCTGAAAAAAATGTTGACTCTTTAATAAAGTGTTTAATGGACTTTCATGTTTTATATTTGCACAGGTTTAAGACTGATATTCAAAGATATTCTCTTTGTAATGATTCAGAAAGAGTCTGACATAAAAAAAATCTAAAAATCTAAAAATGGAATCAGAAAACTGGTATGGGTCAAGACCAATAACAAAGCCAAAGAGATATCCATATCATAGTACAAGCAATACACAGGTCAAAACCAAAGGACAAAAAATCAAAAACAAAAAAATGGACCAAGGCAAAAACATAATGAAAAAAATACAAACAAGATCAAACCACAATATACGTGCAGACAGGAAAAAAAGGCTTGGTATACACTATGAACAGGAGCGATATTTCACAAAGTACTAGTGGTAGCAAGTAGTCTTTATAGGAGCCTGTGAATGAGAAACAGGTGAAACTGATCAGGATTCTGGTGAGGCTGATCTCTGCAACTGCTCGTTATGGTGTCACATAGTCTCTCTGTAAACTCTGGGAATTGGAGTTCATTTGAGTGCTAGTGAACTACAGGCCAAAGGTCAGCATGACATTCTTTTTCTCTTTTAGACAGCTTATGCATTTAAAAATAGAGACTTTGTATAACTAAACCCTACAAAAGACATTTCAAATTTGTGGCATTTGGCAAACCCTCTTATCCAGAGGAACTTACTTTTTGATCATTTTTACAGAAGCAGGCAAAGGTAGTATTGCGAGTCTTGCCCAACTATTCTTATTAATGTAGCCTAGGGTGCTTTCCTGGGTAGGGGATCAAACCTCAGTTCACAGCGTGGAGGGCAGAGGTGTTACCCGCTATACCAAGGGTGTAAAACTCTGGTCCTGGAGGGCCAGTGTTCAGAAAAATGTGGTAATTTACCTGCTCAAATGCACCTGATTAAAATTGTATATTAATTATCAGGTTTAGTTTGAGTAGAGAAACCTCCAAACTATGCTGGACACCTGTCCTCCAGTACTGGAGTTGTGCACCTCTGCACTGTATTTCACCAATGAAGAGTTTTTGAATGTTGCTGTGCTAAGAGGTAAACTATGAGAAAGGTACTCAAAGAAGGTGGGGATTAAGCATGACCGTATTTCTTCTACTAAATTATGAATGAAACCCACTGCAAAGTACAGCAGACAGATCTCTACTTGAAACATTGGCAAACATTAAATTGTTATTTATTGTCTCTGTCTGATTAATAGATTTGGTCAGTGTATTTAGACAAAAACTGAAGAAGATATTTCACACTATTAATGAAGGAATCAGACGGCATGGAAAGTCAACCCTTCTGAATGAGATCTACACAGAGCTCTACATCACAGAGGGAGGAAGTGGAGAGGTCAATAATGAACACGAGGTCAGACAGATTGAGACAACATCCAGGAGACCAGCAACACAGGAGAACCCCATCAAATGCAATGACCTCTTTAAAGAGACACCCATCAGAACTGTACTGACGAAAGGAGTTGCTGGAATTGGAAAAACAGTCTCTGTGCAGAAGTTCATTCTGGACTGGGCTGAAGGAAAAACAAACCAAGATGTCCTCTTCATATTTCCACTTCCTTTTAGAGAGCTGAACTTCATAAAGAAAAAGCTCAATCTGATGAAGCTTCTTCATTATTTTTTCTCCAATCTGAAAAGAACTAAGATCAGTAGACTGTGAAGCTTACAAAGTCATGTTCATCTTTGATGGTCTGGATGAGTGTCGACTTCCTCTAGATTTCCAGAACAATGAGAGCTTGTGGGATGTAACAGATTCAGCCTCAGTGGATGTGCTGCTGACAAATCTCATCAAGGGGAATCTGCTTCCCTCTGCTCTCCTCTGGATAACTACTCGACCAGCAGCAGCCAATCAGATCCCTCCTGAATGTATTGACCTGGTAACAGAGGTACGAGGGTTCAGTGACCCTCAGAAAGAGGAGTACTTCAGGAAGAGAATCAGTGACCAGAGCCTGGCCAATAAAATCATCTCACACATGAAGTCTTCAAGAAGCCTCTACATCATGTGCCACATCCCAGTCTTCTGTTGGATTGCAGCCACTGTTCTAGAGAGAGTGTTGGGTGGAGCAGAGAGTGGAGAGATCCCCAAGACTCTGACTCAAATGTTCACACACTTCCTGATCTTTCAGATCAAACACAAGGACCAAAAGTACCATGGGAAAATGTGACACTGATCTTCAGCAGACCAGAGAGAGGATTCTGGCACTGGGAAAACTGGCTTTCCAACAGCTGGAAAAAGGCAATCTGATCTTCTATGAGGAGGACCTGAGAGAGTGTGGCATTGATGCCAGAGAAGTGTCAGTGTACTCAGGAGTTTGTACCCAGATCTTCAGAGAGGAGTTTGAGCTGCACCTGGGGAAGGTGTTCAGCTTTGTGCACCTGAGTGTTCAGGAGTTTCTGGCTGCTTTATATGCATTTCTCTCCTTCATCAGCAAAGATAAAACAAAACAGGTGACCACTGATCTCTCTGATATTTTCAAAATGTCAGACTTCCTCAAGTCTGCAGTGGACAAGGCCCTACAAAGTGAGAATGGACACCTGGACCTTTTCCTTCGGTTCCTTCTGGGCCTCTCACTGGAGTCCAATCAGACGCTCTTACGAGGCCTACTGACACAGACAGGAAGCAGCTCTCACAGCAAAGAGGAAACAGTCCAGTACATCAAGGAGAAGATCAGGGAGAATCCCTCTCCAGAAAAATCCATCAATCTGTTCCACTGTCTGAATGAACTGAATGATCATTCTCTAGTGCAGGAGGTTCAAACATACCTCAGAAACCAACATTTGTATCACCTCAGTGGAATCAGTCTATCTCCTGCCCAGTGGTCAGCTCTAGTGTTTGTGTTGCTGAACTCAGAAGAGGAGCTGGATGTGTTTGACCTGGGTAAATATGGCAGGTCAGATGAATGTCTTCTGAGGCTCCTGCCAGTGGTCAAAGCATCCAAAAGAGCTGAGTGAGTATTCATGCAGATTGTGTTAATGACCTGTTTCTTAATTTAATGTAACAGTGGATGATACATCACAGATTCGATTTTTTTCAGCAAATATCCAATAGTTTTGTAGATAAAATTTCCCCTTGCTATAGTATCACATATCACTGTTAGTTAGATTTCAGTAGGAAGGTGGAATAAAAGAGCATTGATAATTTCACTTTAAGTTTACACATTTTTATAGGCCATTTTTGCATTTTTCCTCCAAAATCAATTCTACACAATGATGGAATTTATAATTTATACATGAAAGGTTGATTCTACTATCATGTCTAAATCATGTTACTGGTTAAACTTACATTAGGCCAGACCCTTAAGTTCCAAACAATGGAAAGATTTTACTTGGCTGTACGAAAATTAACTAATGTTACAGATTTTTCTCATTCTCAGAAATCATTAGACCAAAATTCTTAGGCCTCCACTGGATCCACTAGTTTGGCTAGATATTGTCTAATATTATTCTTATTGTTTCATATTAGGCTGTAAAAAGAGCCTAGTAATAGTTTGTTAGAAACTCTTTCCATGTTATTTTAGAGACCTCCAGCTTGTTTTCAACAGTTGTTGAGAAATCTGTCAAAAAGTTGTTTTTCAGGATATGAAGTTGTATGGGACAAGTCTTCTTACACTAAAACTGTTTTTAAGATGTTATTGATATATTTAACATTTTGTTTATTTGATCAATCTGTCACAGCTAACACAAAGCACAGCTCACAAAGACAAAGATTCTCATAAGTGAGAGGCTGAGTATGAGTACTTAAACTGTAGATGGTTTAATCACATGCTTTGTGCAAATACAGAATATAGTGGCAGGTTTTGTACACATCTGAAATGCACAACAGAAAAGGCAGTGTCCAAATGCAACTTCATTCAGAGATATTTTATAGACCTAGTTAATGTCAAATTTCAGAATGAGACCAAGGGTGTAGTTGTTCTAAAAAATTTTGAGTAACATTTAAGGCCTTATTAGTAGACAGAAGTAGATAGTGAATTGTTTTAGAGACCAGTTGCAGTGTGCAAAATTAATGATGGATGATTGGGAAAGTTAAATCAAACAGTAGAAAAGTTTACAAAATAATTATTTCCAAAACAATTAGTAAAACTACTACAGTGAGTGCGAGAGAACTGATAAAATATCAGAGTACTAACTAGATGTTCTTTTATAATCTTTTCTTTCCCTTCTTTGTGTGTGAGATGATTTTTGACACATCATCCCTGGCTCTATGTGCAACATGGGAAATGAGAGAAAGAAATGTCAGTTTTCTGTTTTATCATAATTTCTCTTGCAGACTATATGGCTGTAATCTCACAGAGAAAAGCTGTGCAGCTCTGTCCTCAGCTATCAGCTCAAACTTCTCAAGTCTGAGAGAACTGGACCTCAGAAATAATAAACTGCAGGATTCAGGAGTGGAGCTGCTCTATGCTAGACTGAAGAATCCACACTGTAAACTGGAGAAACTGGAGTAAGAGCATCACTTTATCACTGTGTGTGTGTGTGTGTGTTTGTGTGTGTTTGTGTGTGTGATGTCAGTGTTTTGATGTATCATTATCTCTCTCCCAGGCTGTGTTATTGCAATCTCACAGAGGAAAGCTGCAAAGTTCTGTCATCAGCTCTCCACTCAAACTTCTCCAGTCTGAGAGAACTGAACCTGAGTGACAATAGTCTGCAAGATTCAGGAGTGGAGCTGCTCTCTGCTGGACTGGAGAATCCACACTGTAAACTGGAGAAATTGGAGTAAGATTATCACTTTATCACAAAGTTTCAAATTTTGAAATATGAATTCTCCATCCCTTTGCTGTATTTTACTGTAGCATAAAACATGCGATTCTAAAAGCTGCTAGGATTTGATGCTCAATGAAGTATCACATCAAGCAACCCCCTTCATAAACACTGCCACTAAAACCAGAATTCATATGTTCAGTTGACTCAAATGAATGTATCTTCCTGAGCACTACAAAATAGTGGTGTTTTGTCATATGTTCCTAACACTGAATTTCTGTGATAGCAACTGTCTGAAATGCATTGTCATACACACACAAGACCAAAACTAGTGGTACAAAAATGCATATAAATATTTTTTACCATTTTGCTTGATCTCTATAGCTTATTATCATTTTTGTTTTTAAAGAACTCACAAATAAACAGAATCAGAAAACAATAAGCAATTAAACAAGTATAATATAGAAAAGTCTGTGTGTCATGTGATGTCAGTGTTGTGTTTATATCATCTTTTTCTCTCCCAGGCTGCATAACTGTAATCTCACAAAGAAAAGCTGTGCAGCTCTGCTCTCAGCTCTCAGCTCAAACTGCAGTCTGAGAGAACTAGACCTGTGTTACAATAAACTGCAAGATTCAGGAGTGAAGCTGCTCTCTGCTGGACTGGAGAATTCATACTGTAAACTGGAGATACTGAGGTGAAGTTATTACTTTTTCACCATGGAAACAAAACAAGCAGTGTTCAAAATGTTTTTTTAAATTTTTTGAGCATCTTGCTCTGTGTTACTGCTTCCAATGACTCTGGAGTCAGTCTTGTGGTTGAACTTTTAAATATGTTGGTAGTGTGCTCTTCCATCATTTGTATGTGTCTATCATCTTTTCACTTCCAGACTGTGTAACTGTAATCTAATGGAGGAAAGCTGTGCAGCTCTGGCTTCAGCTCTCAGCTCAAACTCATCAAGTCTAAAAGACCTTAACCTTAGTAATAATAAACTGCAGGATTCAGGAGTGGAGCTGCTCTCTGCTGGACTGGTGAATCCACACTGTAAACTGGAAAAACTGGTGTAAGATCGTCACTTTATCACTGTGGATGTATATCACACACAGACTTTTCAGTGTAACTGTTTCTGTTTTTCTCTTAAACTTACACACTCACTATTGCTGTCTCATGAGCTCATATGCTCAAAACCAAGGTCAAACATTTCTAGAATGGCTTGAACATTTAGAATTGTGCTCTTCATGAACAGTCTGTGTGTGTGTATATGTGATGTCAGTGTTCTGATGTTCATCATTTCTCTCACAGGCTGTGTGACTGTAATCTCACAGAGAAAAGCTGTGCAGCTCTGTCCTCAGTTCTCAGCTCAGCTCAAAATCTGAGAGAACTGGACCTCAGTAACAATAAACTGCAGGATTCAGGAGTGGAGCTGCTCTCTACTGGACTGAAGAATCCACACTGTAAACTAGAGACACTGAGGTGAGATCTTTACCCTATCAATGTTAATGTGTTTGTTTATATTGGTCTGTAAATATGAGGAGTTTTTTCTTCTTTCTGCAGGTTGTATAACTGTGGTATTTCAGATGAAGGCTGTGCTACTCTGGTTTCAGCACTGAAATCAAACCCCTCTCACAAGAGAGCTGAATTTCAACTCCAATATTGGAAAACATAAACTCCCATAAACCAGGAGAGTCAGAAACTGCTTACTGATCTACTGGGGACCTGATACTGTAAACTGAAGAAACTACAGTGAGTTACAGACTCACTTCCTTTAAAGGCACACTGACACACACATTCTACTGCAAGTTCAACCCCCTTGTATCATCTTTACCGTCTTTTCCCAGAACTGTAAACTTGTTTCAACTGATTTTGTTTTTGTGTGGAGTCTGGTGTCGGACTGTGATAAGTGTGAGTTCATGTCTGACAATTCTCTCCTTTGTCTTACTGCATCTGAACACCATCCAGCTGATCTGCTCTCACACACAGAGGATCGTGAACACACACACTCAGTATATGGTTCTATGTGGTACTGTGTGTGTGTTTGGGTTCTTATTAGTCAAATCCATGAACATGGCTGCAGCATAGGGTTGTTTGATCTCATGACATCACTTCCTCAACTGAACACTCTAAACAAGTCGAAATATTGATAGTTTCATAAACATTAACATGAGCTCAAAAATCTAAACCAGAGATAAGACTGAGTGTTACTTTAGCAGAGAGCCTGCTAATGAACATCTGAATGTTCTGATGAAACTCTGCTGCCTTTCTGTTCTTTAATTGTCATCAGTATGTTTTTTGAAATTTAGAGATTTCATAATTCTTTCATATTGCTTCATTCTGGCTTCATTCACAGTGCACACTATGGCTGGCCTTCAGCAGCAGTTCATTACTACTGTGGCCAAAACTAGATATTAGTTTAAGTAAGCCATAAAGCAGCTGCAGTGAACAGCATTGACAGATATTTCGTGTTTCATATTCATGTTCAGATTTCTGTTCTGGTTTTCCGGCTACAGAAAAGGAGAAATTGAGCACATTATTCTACCCTGGACTGGTATTTTAAAAATAGCTATTTTGTTTAGATATTGTGGTGCTCTTTATCTCATTAATTGCTCAGGGAGCAGCAGAGACATCTCTATCACCATGGAACATGCCCTTACAGCTGGCACAGGCCATTGGCATCAGTCTTCTTTAAGTGGTGTAATGACTGAAGAATGGAAACAAAAAGTAGACAAAGCAATACAAACCTCAGTATCTCTTTACAAAACCTGTCCACAGCATATCATTGGTGTGCAAAAAAAACAAGAATCTCTAAAATGTTCACTTTACAGGACAAAGCAGCAGCATTCTTTACGTGTAATGTCAGATAATGTTACATTGTTTTATTTCAGTAATTTTGTGTCATTTCTTTTGGTCAGTTCATCGTTAAATGTTCATACAAAGTAAAAGACAGCTGCTGTGTACAGATTATCTAGAAAATACAAATCTTCTAAAAGTTTTTATATGACAAGTAACATTATGTAATTCTGTTGATATCATTATTATTATATTATAAAATTAACCCATTCAATTAATATTATGACTTATTGTCTTAATTATGATTCTTTCCATAATGCATAACTACTGTCTGGAAACATTGCAGGTCTATATAAATTATAGGTTAATAACTAATACAGAAATCCGATTATGGCCTGTATACAACAAATGCTGTTTATGGTTTCATGAGTTAAACTTTGCAATTGAGTTTGCAATGTGCAATGCATGGGAACAAGTTGCGTATTTTGTTACTGAATTCCAGCAGTACAGGACTGCCTGAGGCTAAGTGTGTCCAGGACAGAAGCAAGTAAAACAGCTGTAATTTCAACTAGCTGTAATTAGCTGAAAGTAAATCAGACTCTCAGCTGAAGGCACTGACTCTCGACAGTGACCAGTAGAGTCCCACATCCAGGAAAACGTGACTTTTAGTCGTCAGTTACCTGATAGGAAGGAAAAGCCAGAGTGAAGACGGATTGAGATCATTTTTATTAGGCTTTTGAAAAACATTTTACCATCACTAATGATCAACCAGTCTGAGACAGTGTTGGTGTGTCTGAGTGTTTGTGTTTTTAGGGACATTTTCTCTCCACACTCTGTTTTCCTCCTTCATCATATTCCTGCTTTGAGATCCACATTTGCTGAAAGGTTCCCTGCAGAGAAAAATCAACAGAGCAGGTTCAGTTTGGGTTTTTATCTCAGACCTGTAGAACGTCACAGGAGTGGTACTGAGTGTGTGTGTGTGTGTGTGTGTGTGTGAGAGAGAGAGAGAGAGAGAGAGAGAGAGAGAGAGAGAGAGAGATAGAGTAATAGCAGGTTAGATAATCTTTCTCACCAGAGACGCCAGGATGGAGCCTCCAATCCATGGACTGAAGCGACGCTCCATCGAACTGTTACTGGCAATCAGCTTTAGTCTCATACTCTACAGACACACACACACACACACACACACACACACACACACACACACACAAACAGAAAATGCTTCATACAAACAACACTGATACAGTATGTTAACGTTAATCCTGCCGTCTCCTCGAAGCCCAGTATTAACTGAGGTTATCATCCTGGTTTTAACTACTCAGGACTTCATTATGTTAAATCAGGTTGATGTTTAATAGGCTGCTGATGGAGTTCAATAAACCTTCAATAAACCTGTGTGATGTCTGGAGGCTTCCAGGAGAAATCTGAAACCAAACCAGTTTTCTCATAACCAGTTCAACAGGTTTCAACTACTTCGAAAAAAAAGGATTTCTTGTTGCTTTTTACTGTATTTATGTTTTTTTGTTGTCAAATAATAACATTATCAAATTAAATAATGTACTATATAGCTTCCCAAGACATTTGCACAGTACTGTATATGCAGAAATATTTGTTTAGTCTGAAAGAAAAAAATAGGCTGAACCTTAAAGGGCAAAACATTGAGCTTTTAATGGTCTTAACAAGTCGTTACTCAATGAAATTAGCAAGAATTAAACACAGATGCAGTAAGTCAGTGTGGAGAGTTTTTCACTCTGATTTCTTTCAGTGTTGTAGTTTAGTGTGTGAATGTTCAGACAGTCTTTTACAGAAAGAGTCAGTATTGATCCACTCAGCACTGACGGCTTCAAACAGCTGAAAAACACTGCTGAGCTGGTTTGAGTTTAATGTGATTAATTGCTTTTAGATTTTTTTATTCCATTTTATGCCAATAAAGCCATTTGAATTTGAACTTTAGAGAAAGGAAGATCAAACTGCACACTTTATAGATAAGACTGCCTAAATGTTCAGTGTAAAAATTGGTGTGTCTGAATTTGATCTCAAAAATAACTTCATGTGGTAAGAAGCCATTTAAACTTTGTCCACTGTAGCCATGAAATTTCAGCCTGTTTTGGAGGTCTCACAGTTCAGCCTTTATATATTTTAAATTTAATTACATTTAAAAATGTATTTTAATTACAATTTACTCTTGTTTTGAATCATATTGTGTTAGCATAATAAAAACTCCAATGAGCTGCTTTTCATTCCACTAAAACTAAGAATCTTTTGTGGATACTGAGATTAGGGTTAGGGTTAGGTTAAGGTTTAGATGCAGTATTACTTGGCTAGCGTAATAGAGAAAACAGTGGAAGTCCTCACAAGTATAGTAATATAGCCGTGTTTGTTAATGTGCACTGACCGGTGGTGCTTTCTGTGATAGCTCTCTGTTGAGTCTTTCAGTGAATCCTTGCAGTAAAGTGTTTCCACCTGTTACAATCACACTGCCATACAGACCCTACACACACACACACACACACCACACACACACACACACACACACACACATTGTAACACACAAATAACAACATATTTACCTTTTACATTCTCAACAGAATCATCTAAAACATGTAGACACGCTCAGACACACTTACAGGTCTGATGTCGATGTCACACATTCCAATGCTGGTGGTGACCACGTGTCCAACGCCCAGCATGGTGTTCCCGGACAGGCCCTGCAGGCAGGAAACACATCTATGCACAGTTTAGTTGACTAGAAACAAAACATTTCTGAGTCTGAACTAGCATGAATATGCAGCTGAGCTTCAATGGAGAAGAATAATAGCCAGAAACATATTTTAAACAAGTACGTAATGCAAACGCTTTCAATACAGTGTCATCAGTTCTAAAACGTGGCACGACAAACTTCATGATGCAACACAATCACAAGCTGCATTCTGAGTGTTGCACTGCAAAAAATTATATCTTAGCAACTGAAAACATCTTAAATGTGATCAATACACCTAATATTTCTCATTGTGAGATTGTTGGTCTTGGAGAGCCTCTCAGAAGTAAAGTACTGAGTAGTGAGATTACTTTTTTCCAGGCAGTAATTAGTAAAGTAATCCCATTACAGTTTGAGAGAAGTAACTAGTAAGTTGAAAAGGATTTCTTTTTGTGTAAATACCCCAACACTGTATATGATCCATCATCACCTGTTCATTTTAATAGAAAAGTAGCAGCACACGCTCCTCTACTGTCCACAGGTTTAGCTCTTGTGGCTGTTGATTGTACTCTATCATACTGAGTGGATTTGCATGGTTGCAAGTACCTTTCTGGCCTTTGACTGGCAAACTACACAGTACATCCAAAAATATCCAGAAAACCCTAGACAGCTTATTTAAGGTCACCCTTCGCTGACACAGCTTGTATAATCTCCATAGAAAAGCTCTGTCCAATAGAATGGGACACTCTGGAGCAGCTGCACATGAGCCTAAGGTCACCATGCCCAATGCCCAGAGTGGGCTAGAGGGGTATAAAGCCCCCCAGCATTGGGCTGTGGAGCAGTGGAACTGTGTTCTCTGGAGTGATGGAGCTCCATCCAATACCTTTGGGATGAGTTGGAGTGATCCAGAACTGACCATCCAACATCAGTACCTGACCTCACTAATGCTCAATCAAATCCTCACAGCAATGTTCAACATCTAGTGTAAAGCC